TGATTCTTGTGTCCTGTGGACATATATGGAGTCCCTGGGTGGTGCATATCGTTAATGTGCTTTGCTGCTAAATTAAAGGTTGGAGGTTCAAGTCTACCCAGAGGCGCCTTGGAAGAAAGCCCTGGTGATCTACTCTACTTCTGAAAAATCAGCCATCAGAAACTCTGTGGAGCACAGTTCTACTCTGACACACATGGGGTCGCCATGAGTTGGGGTTGACTCGATGACAGGTGGTTTTTTGGTTATAGACATATATGCTCAGTCTACACAATAGAAGATATGGAAGATCAGAGTAGCTAAGTGTATACCGTATTTTTACACACATAATGCATGCCTTCTATGTTTGCCAACTACAGCTTCCGTCCTCGAGGTATTTTTGTAAACTCACTACGTTATGTGTGAAAAAATTGGCATAGTGGTGGTTATGAAAATACCTCGTGGGGGGAGGGCATGGGTGGCAAACAAATATAGAAAGTGCATGTTATTTGTGTAAACATAGGGTATTTAGCAAACTATGCTTATCATATCCAATCTGATTTTTGGAAGCTATGATGATAAGCTCAAGAATTAGGTAAGTAACAGAAAACCTGTTTGAGGTACAAGCAATGGGTTTGATCAAAAGATTTCTGCTGATAAAAAACATCTATCAAAACCTACCCTCTGGAGGGCTGTGGGGACCATGGTCTCAGGGAACATCTAACTCAATTGGCATAACACAGTTTATGAAGACAATGTTCTATATTCTACCTTGGTGAGTAGTGTCTGGGGTCTTAAAAGCTTATGAGCAGCCAACCAAGATACTACACTGGTCTCATCCCTCTGGGAGCAAGGGAGAATGAAGAGAACAGGATACAAGGAAAAGATTAGTCCGAAGAACTAATGGACCACAGCTACCAAGGCCTCCACCAGACTGAGTCCAGTACAGCTAGATGGTGCCCAGCTACCACCACTGACTGCTCTGACCAGGATCACAACAGAAGGTTCTGGACAGAGCTGGAGACGGATGTAGAACAAAATTCTAACTCAAAGAAAAAGACCAGATTTACTGGCCTAAAGGAGACTGGAGAAACCCCGAGAGTATGGCCCCCAGACACCGTTTTAGCTCAGTGGTGAAGTCATTTCCGAGGTTCACTGTTCAGCCCGGGAGTGGACAGCCCCATAAAACCAAATGGGACTAATGAGGCACAGCGGTTCAGGGACAAGGGCCAGAAGGCAGAAGGGGACAGGAAAGCTGGTGATAGGGAACCCAAGGTTGAGTGAGGATAGTGTTGATGCACTGTGAGGTCGTTAACCATTGTCATAGGGCAACATGTGTACTAACTGTTAAATGAGAAACTTTTGTTCTGTAAGCCTTCATCTACAGTGAGAATAGCAGCACAATTGGAAGAGCGTAGTCGATGTCACTGAACTGTGCGTGTAGAAATTTTTGAAATGGTGTATCTTTGGCTATGTATATTTTCACCAGGAAAAAAAAAAAAAAAAGGTCGAGAAGGGAGAGAGTTGACATGTTGTGGGGTTGTTAACCAATGTCATAAAACAATATGTGTACTACTGTTTCCTGAGAAACTATTTGTTCTGTAAGCCTTCACCTGAAGTACAATAATAAAAAAAAAACGACCTACCCTCTTTTTGTTTTTTCCTTGGGACAGTTTTTTGTCGTGAGCTCCCAGTGGGGCAGTGACATCATGACTCTGGCGGGGAGTGGGGGGAAGGGAGGGTTCCCACTCTTTTTTTCTTTGATTGTGGTAAAAATATATAACAAAACATTTGCAAGTTCAACAAATTTTGCATGTATAATTCCATGACATTAATTACTTTTATCATGTTATGCAACCATCATCACTATCCTTTTCCCAATTATCCTACCACTATTAACAGAAACCCATAGGGTTTCCAAGGTGCAACTGGTAGATTTGAACTGCCACCTTTTTGGTTAGCGGCCATAGCTCTTGACCACTGTGCCACCAGGGCTCCAACAGAAACTTAGTGCCGCCTAATCAATGACTCCCTCTCTGCCCCTTCCTCCCAATCCTGTCAACCACTAATAAGCTTTGCTCTTTATACAGTTGCCTATTTTATGTAAGTGGGATCATACAATATTTGCCCTTCTGTGACTGACTCATTTCACTCAGCGTGATGTTTTCAAGGTTCATCCATGTTGTGGCGTGTATCAGGACTTCATTTTTCTTTATGGCTGAGTAACATCCACCTCTTTTTAAATGATCTAATTTTTACTTAAATTTTTGAGAATTTTTACTTAAATTTTGAGAATTTTATTTAAAAAAAAGACTTATGGTTAACTGGGTTGTATTTTATTTCATTCCCTTAGGTGATAAACTTTTAGACTCTTAAAATAGAACTGGACTTAGGAATACACATTATTAAGACTGTCTTCCAAAATAATTTTAAAGACTTTTCTATTCATTCTGAAGAGTCCAGACAGACTCAAAGCTGCAGGAACGAATCTGTAAAGTAAATGAGCAGAGAGAGGGCATTAGTGTACACACATACCCCCATACATATTTTTAAAAAGTTAATTATACATGTATTTCTATTGTGAATATACCCACTTATACATACATATAGTAATTTTATGTTTATCATGGAGTCTTGGAGTTAGAAGGAAACCTTACAGACCATGTCTTTCAGAAAACAGAATATACCAGAATGCCTCCCTCACAAATGGACAAGTTTATAGGGTACATGCATTAACTCCCATACTACAGAGTTTCTCAAAGTCTAGAACTGTACTGTTGGTGGTCCGTGAAATGACTTTGGGGGTACTTGAATATGATGGAATCACAGAGAGAAAGTTATTCCCTTTTCAATTCTCTTTCTATTCTTCTACCAGGAGAGAGTCTTAGCTCACTACTAAACTCAGTTGCCATCCAATTGACTCCTACTGTTAGAAACCTCATGTGTGTCAGAGTAGAACTGTTCTCCACAGGGTTTTCAACGGCTGATCTTTTGGAAGTAAATTGCCAGGCCTTTCTTCCAGGGCGCCTCTGGGTGGTCTCAAACCTCCAACCTTTTAGTTAGCAGTGAGCACATTAACTATTTGCACCACTGAGGGGCTCTGTTGTGTTAAATACCTTCCTAAAAGTATCTCATCTCCCTTTGCCACAAAGAGAAAGCAAGTTTTGGGTATAGAGCTTTCTCCAGATACCAGTAGAGAAAATTTAATGTATTTGAAATGTCAAAAATTTCAATATTTGAAAATTTGGTATTGTTTTCTTTTTATTGGATAGCAAGTGATTCTCGTTTGTCTAATATAGAGAAGTGATATAATATTTCTGTGTGAAATAATTTAAGTAAAAGGTAGTTTGATTTAAATAGTAATGCTAAGCACATCAATGCACAGGTGCTAGATAGATATGACAATGAATAAAAGGTGAGTCTTGAATGACTAAAATTTGAGTGATACTGTCCTGGTGCCTCTAAAGCGATTCAGTATATGAACATTCCAGTTACACATGACTTTTAGGAAACGCTTGTAGCACACAAAGCTTACAGTACATGCATGGTGTACAAGCTCCACGTGCATGCATTCTGTCGCTTGGGTCTGCTTCTGCACACTCCTGCTAGTCCCACGTGTGCTGAAGGTCTGAGTCTTAAACCAAAAGATTCAGAAAGACCCTGTTCTTCTCCTAAGCTTTGTTCATTGCAATGCAGATGTCCCAAGGAGAGGGTTCGCTCTTCCTTGCTTAGGAAATTAAAGAGGTTGGGAGTTGTGTGATAGCTATCAGATATATTATAGTTTATATATACATATATGGAGAGAAAGAGAGAGAGAGCATGAACGAGTGCTCGGCTGCTAACCAAAAGGTCAGCAGTTCGAATCCACCAGCCGCTCCTTGGAAACTCTGTGGGGCAGTTCTGCTTTGTCCTGTAGGGTCACTATGAGTCGGAATCGATTCGACAGCAACGAGTTTGGTTTTTTTGGTTTATGTATATATGTGTGTGTGTGTGTATACATATAGTTGTTGTTAGGTGCCATCAAGTTGATTTTTGGTTAGCAGCCAAGTGCTTAACCACTGTGCAATCTTATTTTGGGGGTACACAGTTCAATCCATAGCAGTGGGTTAGTAAATTACTTTTGTGGCTAAAATAACCAAGTTCTTAAATTTTTATTATTTTTTAAAATTTTGGCTTTATATGGAGCCCTGGTTTTAAAAATAGTTTTAGAAATACTACATGAATACTTCTAAATTAAATACTCATTATCAGTATTTACCGTGCTTGGTTAAGTAGAGTCAGTGAAAAAGAGGGAGACCCTCAAGGAGATGGACTGACACAGTGGCTGCAACAATGGGCTCAAACATAGCAATGATTGTGAGGATGGTGCAGGACCGGGTAGTATTTCGTTCTATTGTACATGGGGTTGCTATGAGTTGGAACTGACTCAGTGGCACCTAACAATGACATATATATGTGTATGTACTGGTGTTTATTTTATTAGGCTCCAGTTTCCACCTGAGCTAGCAGACTACGAAACTATGAAGTGAGCTGTGAGGCATGCTAGGGTTTTTGGAAGCAATAACCAGAACGTGTTTTCTCCAGAAACCCGTGGCTAGACTGACCCTGTCCAGTGGAGATTACCATACTTCAGACACGAAACCGCCATGCCAGCATACACAAATTTCCAAAGGGGAGGGGGGAACCAAATGCTGAGGCCTCTGTTGTGTTTGAAACACAAAATACCAGGATTAAAGAAAGAAAGAAAGAAAAAAAAACTGACACGGCTGGAATGATATCAAGTGCATGTATCCAATTAATGGGCAAACCGAATCCAGGTTTTTTCCCCTTTTAAAAGCAGTCTGATGGAGGACATTTTTCAAAGCTTCCGCTTCAATGAAGTGGTGAATCCCGTTGACGTGACTGGCTTAATTTGCTTCTTTGGGTTGCCAGAAGCTGGGTTTCTGTGACAGTTACTATGTGCTCATGTCCCGGGGTCATCTTGTAGCAATCAAATGAAAACCAGTGTTCTCTTCTTCCTTCAGATCACCCAATTAAAGATCGAGAACAATCCCTTTGCCAAAGGATTCCGGGGCAGCGATGACATGGAGCTACACAGAATGTCAAGAATGCAGAGGTAAGAAAGTAGGTTCCCCCACTCCCTCCTCCATATCACCCCCTATTGTCAAGTATAAATTAGTTGGCAAGAGCTTTACGATAGGACTGACCTGGGTTTAAAGCTCAGCTTTACCTCTTCTTGGCTGTGTGATCTGGGACAAATGGATTAACCTCTCTGAGTCTCAATTTCCTCATCTCTAAGTTTAATCAGGGGTTAAGAGCTCGGCTGCTAATCAAAAGATTGGCAGTTCGAAATCCACCAGCTGCTGCTTGGAAACCCTATGGGGCAGTTCTATTCTGTCCTATGGGGTCGCTATCAGTTGGAATCGACTTGATGGTGATGAATAAGTTTAATCATTCCAATGAAATGGGGTTCTTGCCAGGATCAAATGAGGGAACGCATATAAGACCTCTAGTATAGTGCCTGGAACATTGTTGTTGTTGTTATTAGGTGCTGTCAAGTCAATTTTTGACTCATGGCGACCCCATGTAACAGAGTAGAACTGCCCCATAGGGTTTTCTAGGCTGTAATCTTTATAGAAGCAGATTACCAGGTCTTTCCCCCACAGAGCCATTGAGTGAGTTTGAGCTGCCAACCTTTTGGTTAGCAGCCAAGTGCTTAACTGTTGTACCACCAGCTATCCTTCCCATCCCCCCACCCCTGTTCAGATAGGCCAGGTGAACCAGTAACAATCCAGTGCCTTCCTCCACCAGCCTTCTTGCCTGTAGAATGCCAGGCATCAGAGCGCGATGCCTGTTACTCATGGAGAAAGAGGGAGTTGAGGATAAAGATCCTATTCCAAGTCAACTTTCTGATAAACCTAGGGTTTGTCCTATCAGACAACCTGTCTGATATGTATATGTATCTTTTAGGGATAAGAAGGTGCAAGGGAGTCTGGCGATCTCCACCTGCCCAGCCAACAAAAGCTACCACTGTCTCTGCTTTCTTTGCTTCCTCTCTTCCTTTGCCTTTGTGAAGCCCTCTCTCTCTTCCTTTGTCTTCGTGTAGACAACTATCTATTCCTTTTCCTTTGATGAAGCCTGTTTTCTCTTCCTTCCCGTCAGCCACAACTGATGAAAGGTTTTCTTTTTGGCACCCGCTCCTGGTAAATGAAAGGAAAGTTAATGACTTGATTCCCTGGGGGTAAAATACAGACAGACTTAACACCATGTGTTGTCCAGGGTACTAGGAGACGGGAAGTGGGTGCTAAAAACAGCTCGGTATTTTTACATATCCTGTGGTCACAGTCGCTGATATGATGAATAGAGGGGACTGTAGCCAATGGGAATTTGATCTGATTGGACAGGATTGTACGAGCATTGCCAATTTTGTCAGATATACCCTCTGCCTCTTTCTTCATAGGCTTCCAAAATAATTTACCAGATGGCAAGACAATTAGAAATACATCTCGATCCCTTTTCGTTTGTTTTTGTTTTTTCCCTTTTGGTGGGTTTAAAGCAAAAAAAAGCAAAACTGTTGCCATCGAGTTGATTCCGACTCATAGTGACCCTATAGGGCAGAGCAGAACTGCCCCATAGGGTTTCCTAGACTGTAATCTTTACAGAAGCAGACTGCCACATCTTTCTCCCGCAGAGCGCCTGGTGGGTTCAAACTGTCAGCCTTTTAGTTAGCAGCTGAGCACTTAACCACTGCACCACCAGGGATCCTTTTGGTGGGTTTAGTATTTCAAAATAAAGACAGGTCACTTAGGCTATTTTCCTTTGTCCTTTCTGGAATGCTTGAAAAAGGAGAGTCAGGTAGATGGATGTAATCATTCCAAGAAAGACAAGAGATGGAAGAAAGAGGAAGAGAGAAAAGCAGCAGTTTTGTGGTTGTAACAATGGCTTTAGAAATACGTGCCATGGAAATTGTTTTTAGATAGCAGGCTTACTAGATCTAATTTTGCATGCTTGTTAAAAATAAATGCGACGTTATCTTCAGGGGTGTGCACATACACCACACTCATATGCATGCCTGTGTTCATAATTAAGGGTTCATGATTGGTTTCCTTCATGACTGTGGGTATCTCTGTTACCTGTTGCTGTTAGGTGCCATGGAGTTGCTTCCGACTCATAGGGACCCCACGTACAACAGAATGAAACACTGCCCGGTTCCGCGCCACCCACACAATTGTTGTTATGGCTTGGATCAGGTGCCCCTTAATCCTCAAAGGGACATCTTTGCTTTTAACACTTTAAAGAGGTCTTTTACAGCAAATTTGCCCAATGCAATACGTCATTTGATTTCTTGATTGCTGCTTCTATAGGCATTGATTGTGGATCCAAGTAAAGTGAAATCCTTGAAACTTCAATGTTTTCTCCGTTTATCATGTTGCTCATCGTTCCAGTTGTGAGGATTTTTGTTTTCTTTATATTGAGGTGCAATCCGTGCTGAAGGCTGTAGTCCTTGATCCTTATCAGGAGTGCTTCAAGTCCTCTTCACCTTCAGCAAGCAAGGTTGTGTCATCTGCATATTGAAGGTTGTTAATGAGTCTTTCCTCCAATCCTGATGCCATGTTCTTCTTCATATAGTTCAATTTCTCAGATTATTTGCTCAGCATACAGATCGAATAGGTATGGAGAAAGGCTGCAATCCTGATGCACACCTTTCCTGACTTTAAACCACACAGTATCCCCTTGTTCTGCTCAAACGACTGCCTCTTTGTCTATGTACAGGTTCCTCATAGGTACAATTAAGTGTTCTGGAATTCCCATTCTTTGCAATGTTGTCTGTAATTTGTTAATGATCCACACAGTCGAATGCCTTTGCATTGTCAATAAAACACAGATAAGCATTTTTCTGGTATTCTCTGCTTTGATCCAAGGTCCATCTGACATCAGCACTGATAACCTCGTTCCACATCCTCTTCTGAATCAGTCTTGAATACCTGGCAGTTTCCTGTCGATGTACTGCTGCAAATACTTTTGAATGATCTTCAGCAAAATTTTACTTGTGTGTGATATTAATGATATTATTCGATAATTTCTGCATTCTTTTGGATCACCTTTCTTTGGAATGGGCATAAATATGGATCTCTTCCAGTCAGTTGGCCAGGGAGCTGTCTTCCAAACTTCTTGGCATAGATGAGTGAGCCTTTTCAGCACTGCATCTGTTTATTGAAACATCTCAATTGGTATTCATCAATTTTTAAGCCTTGTTTTTCGCCAGCGCCTTCAGTGAAGCTTGCACTTCTGCCTTTAGTACCACCAGTTTCTGATCATACGCTGCCTCCTGAAAGTGGTTGAACTCCACCAATTCTTTTTGGTACAGTAACTCTGTGTATTCCTTCCATCTTCTTTTAATGCTTCCTGCATCATTCAATATTTTGCCCATAGAATCCTTCAATATTGCAACTCAAGGCTTGAATTTTTCCTTCAGTTCTTTCAGCTTCAGAAATGCTGAGCATGTTCTTCCCTTTTGGTTTTCTAACTCCAAGTCTTTGCATATTTCGTTATAATACGTTACTTCATCTTCTCAAGTCACCCTTTGAAATCTTCTGTCCAGTTCTTTTATTTCATCATTTCTTCTGATCACTTTAGCTGCTCGACCTTCAAGAGCAAGTTAGTTTCAGAGTCTCTGCTGACATCCGTTTTGGCCTTTTCTTTCTTTCCTGGCTTTTTAATGACCTTTTGCTTTTTTCGTGTGTAGTGTCCTTGATGTCATTCTACAAGTCGTCTGGTCTTCAGTCATTAGTGTTCAGTGTGTCAAATCTGTTCTTGAGGTGGTCTCTAAATTCAGGTGGGATATACTCTAGGCTATATTTTGGGTCTCATGGACTTGCTCTGGAACCCTGGTGCTGCTGTGATTAGGCTTTTGGCTGCTAACTAAAAGGTCAGCAGTTCAAATCCACCAGCCACTCATTAGACATTGGGAACCCTATGGGGCAGTTCTACTCTGTCCTGTAGGGTTGCTATGAGTCAGAATTGACTCGACAGCTACGGGTTTGGGTTTTTTTTGTTTTTTTGGACTTTGTCTAGTTTTCTTCAGCTTCAGCTTGAACTTGCATATGAGCTATTCCTAGGGGTGCTGTAAGAGAAATACCACAAGTGGTGACTGTCAAGAACAGAAACTTATTTTCTCACAGTTTAGGAGGCTAGAAGTCTGAATTCAGAATGTGGCTCTAGGGAGAGGTCCTTCTTTGTCTATTTCAGCTGCTAGTAGGTGGCCGTCCTTGGTGTTTCTGGACTTGTAGATTCATCTGCCTCCCTAGTCCTCAGATAGTGTTTGTCTTCCCCATCTCTGTGTGCATCTCCATGCCAATGCTGCTTTTCTTATAATTCAGAAGTAATTTAGTTTAGGATCCACCTTACACTGGTGTGACCTCAACTGATTGATTAATTATATTACATTAGATTGCATCATGGAAAGTGATTTCATTGCATTTAATTAGAATAGGGGTTAGGATTCCAACACGTATTTTGGGGGAACACAGTTCAGTTCATAACTAAGATGCTCTTGTGGCTAAAATAACCAAGTTCTTAAATTATTATTTAAAAAAATGTTGGCTTTAAGGTTATTAAATTGCAGTTTGATTTAGTCATATTGTCAATGGAAGCAAGCATCACATTTTAGCTGAGAGGGGTCAAATTATCTGTGGTCTAGGCTCAGAGTGCCAAGTTTTATTCCATGATGTTCAAAATTCCATCCCATTCTGATTCTGATGGTTATTTATAACTCGTCAGCTTAGTCACTGTTAAAGATCCAGTCTGTCCAGTTTGTGCAGGTAAAGGTCGTCCTCCCGCAGGTAAAGGAGCAGGAGGCAAACCACGCCTTTCAAGTCTGCTGTCTAAGAGTTTATTCATGTCCTGCTTCTTCCCACAAGGTCAAGAGCAGGTGGGATAATGGATGTAAGGTGTCGCAAATCCCACCCCAACCTCAAACTCCCATCAGTTGCCATGTCCTGTTGATTCTACTTCTGAACCTATCTCAGAATTTACCCCTTTCTCCTTCCTAACGGCTTATTCGAGCCTCCACCATCCTTGCCTGCCATGGTCTCATAACTTCATTAGCCCTTGACT